TGCTGCTGGCTACCTCAACTTCTCTTTTATGCTGCTCTTAAAGGAGAAAGAGAGAGAAAGGGTTCAGGTTCAGTTACTAAAATACCTCTTCCACAAAGCTTCCCCTAGACTGATTATTGAAAGCTAAAGCTAATTACCTCTCTTTTTCTATCTCATATGCATGAAATTGTAATTGCTCCAGTATCATATCTAATTATTGTACTCACTCTTGCCTTAATTAAAATGTATTTAAAATCGCAAAATTAGAATTTGAAGGGACCTTAAGAATATAATGCAGACTCCCAGTTAAATGTGTTTGAATGAGCACATTCACTTATCACTGCTGCCTATCCAAAGTCTTCTAAAATGCCAATATATTCCAAATGCATAAACCCACAAGGATTGGCCTGGCGCGGTGGCTCAAGCCTGTAATCCCAGCACTTTGGGAGGCCGAGGCGGGTGGATCACGAGGTCGAGAGATCAAGACCATCCTGGTCAACATGGTGAAACCCCGTCTCTACTAAAAAGACAAAAAATTAGCTGGGCATGGTGGCACATGCCTGTAATCCCAGCTACTCAGGAGGCTGAGGCAGGAGAATTGCCTGAACCCAGGAGGCGGAGGTTGCGGTGAGCCAAGACCGCGCCATTGCACTCCAGCCTGGGTAATAAGAGCGAAACTCCATCTCAAAAAAAAAAAAAAAAACCCACAAGGATAAAGAAACTGGATAAGAAGATGACAGTGACTACACTTTAGGAGTTGTAAAGCAGAGACAAGAGTGGAAACTGACCTAGCAGAGTGATAATCCATTAAACTATTAATGAGAGAAGCTCAGAGCAAGCCAATTCCCAGACTCCAGAAAAGTTTAGGTATTAGAGGTGCCACACATCTCTGAAAGGAGGAAGGTGACTGGAAAAAAAAAAGCCATCGTTGAGGACAGGGATACTTTACTGTAAATGAGACTTAAACAAAAGCCAGTATTAGACAATGACAACCCAGCTCCCTTCTCCAACTCAGATCTTAAGAATGCTCCAACCAAGCTTACTCTCTTCAACCAAGCTTACCCTCTTCAACCCACAGGAAACTGGAAAATTACTTTTTTGGGAAAATGTTCCAGCCCAAGATGGGAGAAAACCTTTCAGGTTTGATAAGATCATCCTACACTGATCAGCCCAGCCTCCTACTGTGCCTCATCTCTCCTATTGGTCTCAGTGTTCTTTTTTTTAGTTTAATTTATTGTGGTAAGAACACTTAACATGAGATCTACCCTCTTAACAAATTGTTAAGTGTACAGTATGTTTTTGTTGTCTATAGGCACGTTAACCTTCAGCAGATCTCTAGAGCTTATTTATCTTGTTTAACTGGTAATTTATGCTTGTGATTAGTCACTGCTCCTAAAGGATCACCTTCAGACAATAAAAGAATTTCTCCAGCATGAAGGACAGAATGAATAAAATGGAACTCAGAGGAAATCAAGGCAATAGAGATGGCAGGAAAATGTGTTTAAAAAACACCTACTATCTATTCTTGTTGCTAAGAAAAGATGTCATATCTCCCCTCTTCCCAAAGAAAGGAGGCTTTAAAAAGGAACACTGGGAAGGAAAGAGAAAGAGACCTTTGGAAGTAGAAAATGCTATAGCAGAGAAAAAATTCAAAAGAAGGGAAAGAAAATAAGGCGAGAAAAATAAAGTGGTTTCCGAGGACTGAAACCATATATTTTACTGTTTAAATTTACAAGGCATTACTCTTTCAGTCTCTTCACAAATAAAACTTTACTATTAAAGGGACCTCTTTCATGAGGCAATAAAAGAAGCAAATAACCTTGTTTATTCTGGGATTTATCTCCCCCAAAACCTGTTAAAATAAACATCAAACCGTCCAATTTACCAATAGATAGCATTAAGTGATAGTTTACTCCCCAAGAGTCTTTTTTTTTTCTTTTCTCTCTGTCTCTTTTTTTTTTTTTTTTTGAGACAGGATCTTGTTCTATTGCTCTGGCTGGAGTTCAGTGGCATGATGATAGCTTGCCACAGCCTTCAACTCCTGGACTCAAGTGATCCTCCCTTCTCAGCCTCCTGAGCAGCTGGAATCACAGGCATACACCATCAAGCTCAGCTTATTTTTTTATTTTTTGGTAGAGACAGGGGTCTCACTACATTGCCCAGGCTGGTCTCAAACTCCTGGGCTCAAGTGATCCTCCCTCAGCAGCCTCTCAAAGTGCTGGGATTACAGGCATGAGCCACCAAGACTGGCACCAACACTCTTTGAATCCATCACCTCAAAATCCTTGCTGTGTCCACCAACCCTAAACTATTGTCCTTATCCAACCAATTCCGATCAAGCTCTAGCATTGAAAGACCTGTCTTAAACCAGACCTCAAAACTTGATAAATATCTCAACTTTTCCCTGCCCCTTCTGAGAAGCTACTAAGACCCTATCAAGATAGTGTTCCTCCTTACTTCAATAGGAATAAAGTTATATTTGTTTAATCAATGGGTTGTTTAAGTGATATTTTGGTGGAGCTAAAATTATTACCTTTCAAAAATTAGTACAAAAAGATGTAATGGGAGATAGAAGAAAAAAGAAAAGCAAGTTAAAAGATCAGAGATCTAACATCTGAATAATAGAATAGAAATTTTAACAAGAGAAAAAGAAAATGTTGGGAAGAAAAATACTAAAATAATTTGAAGGCAGAGCGCAGTGGCTCATGCCTGTTATCCCAGTACTTTGGGAGGCCGAGGCGGGCGGATCACTTGAGGTAGAGAGTTCGAGACCAGCTTAACCAACATGGAGAAACCCAATCTCTACTAAAAATACGAAAACTAGCTAGACATGGTGGTGTATGCCTGTAATGTTAGCTACTCAGGAGGCTGAGGCAGGAGAATTGCTTGAACCTGGGATGCAGAGGTTGCAGTGAGCTGAGATTGAGCTGCCCTCTAGCCTGGGCAACTCCGACTCAAAAAAAAATAAAAAAGCATTTGAAAAGGTTTTCCAGAACTGTCGCCCATAAATTTCTGTAATACAGGGCATGATCAAATCAAAGGAGACCCACACCAAGGTTAAAATCATTGTAAAACTTCAGAAACGTTGAGACAAATTATAGAAAGCTGAGGGAAAAGTGCTTGGTTGCCTGCAGATTAAGATTATTGCCACCAGATGGCAAGAATGCCTCCAAGTCTCTACTTCTAAGATTTTTGTTTCATTTGCTCTTCCAAGCTTTCCAACACATTAGAAAGAGGTTTCTCATTTGGCTTCTCTTCATCTAGTCTGGCTCCATCCGAGATCTGACTCTTTTTTTCCTAAACGTATCTGCTAGAAGGACACTGTATAATCTCCTGGAGGAATAAGTACATTCTCTTTGAAGAATTGGCTCATGTGGCTCTGAGGTTAAAAAAAAAAAAGACTTTTAAGAGAATGGATTCTGGATTACAGTTGTCTGTTGTGGACAGAAGGACTTCTGTCATGCAGGGATTCCACAAAGCATTCATTCATTAATTCATTCTTCTAACAAGTTTTATTGGTGCTGACTATATGATGGGTATTGTGTTAGGCACTAGGAATCCTTTAGTAAAAGAAAATCAGACATGAACTTTGTCTTCATGGAGATTAAATTCTGAGGAGATAAACATTCCATAAATACACACACACACACACACACACACACACACACACACACATAAACAAATATATGTAACTATATACATATATGTATTTAAATAAATTGTGATAAGTGCTATGAAAAGATAGGTGTGTGGAGAAAAAGAGACCTATTCGGTCCCTAAGGAATCTGATGGGTTCCTGTAAGAGTGGAAGTAAGCAAATCAGCTAGGAAGCTTTTGCAGTTTTCTAAGAGGAAGTTTAAGGGAGAGGGTGATGCCAGAGGAAAGAGAAGTAGATGAATTCAAGAGAAGTTGGAGGTGGAATTGACAGGATGTGGTCATTAGATCTGGGAAGTTAGAAAGCAGATCCATTAAAGATGACTCCCAAGTCTGGATGAAGCAGATGGCTGGGTTGATGGGATTACCATTTTCTGAGGTAGAGAAGGCTTGGGGAGGAAGAAGTTTTGGAGGAGGGGATGGTGGATAGAATCAAGAGTTCAGGGGCCTTGTGTGGTGGCTCACACCTGTAATCCCAGCACTTTGGAAGGCCAGGGTGGGAGGATCACATGAGGTCAGGAGTTTGAGACCAGCTTGGCCAACATGGTGAAACCCCACCTCTACTAAAAATACAAAAAAGTAGCCAGGCATGGTGGTGTGCGCCTGTAGTCCCAGCTACTTGGGAGGCTTAGGTAGGAGAATCACTTGAACCCCAGAGGCAGAGGTTGCAGTGAGCCAGGATCAGCCACTGTACCCTAGCCAGGGCAACAGAGTGAGATGCTGTCTCAAAAAGAGTTCAGGGTGGAATGTTAATTAAATTGGGCTTTCTCCCCAGGCATTTGGGTTCTGGTTTGGATGCCACTGGTCCAGGCTAGAATGGGGTTTGCTCTGATCTACTGTGTAATAGAATGACTTGGCCTGGTTTATTTGGTTTAAATTGGCTCACGGTTGGCATTAATTAAGTTAAAAATTGTTAACACAGTGTCCCTACAGAGCAATAGAAAAATCAGCTTAAATTTGTAGTGTCTTTTCTGATGTGGGCATTTGAGAATTAAAGAGAACTGTCCAGGTTGACACCTATAATCCTAGCACTTTGGGAGGCCAAGATGGGGGGATTGCTTAAGGCCAGGAGTTTGAGACCAGTGTGAGCATCACGGGGAGACCCCATCTCTACAAAAAATCAAAACATTAGCCGGGTGTGGTGGCACACACCTGTGATCCCAGCTACTCAGGAGGCTGGGAGGTGGGAGGATTGCTTGACCTGGGAGGTTGAGGCTTTAGTGAGCCATGTTTGTACCACTGCACTCCATCCTGGGCTACAGTGATGCCCTGTCTCTAGGGAAAAAAAAAGAAAAAAGGAAAAAGAATGGGCCAGAGCATCTTCTACATTTTTTGTTGTTGTCATTTGTTTGTACTTCATTCATAAGGGGCACACAATCTCGAAGATAAGAAGCTTCTGGAAAATGCAAGCCCAGTTGTTTTGGTGGATCCTTCTGAATGATTATGCACAGGTAAGATCCTGAGTGTGGTGGCAGAAAGGAAAACTTCTTCCATTGGCTCTGAAAATAGAGAATATATTTGTCTTATTTTATCCCCAATATAATGCTTAATAACATATTTACACAGTAAGTGCTGAATTGAAGCTGCTCCACCTGGGTTCTTTTCAGTCTCCAGACCTGAGTTGAACTCTCTGGAGGATTTGAAACCCCTCTTCCCAAAGAGCAGCTGCATAATTAGCTATGCACTGAGACAAGGTACATCTCTGGACTCACCAGAGCTTAGGACCTCATTTTTAGGGGTGCTAGGAAAAAGACACTTCTCTTTCTTTCTTCCTACACCCACTTCCATAGAGGTCTTTTGCCACCATCAACGAAGTGTTAAGTCAGAATTTAAAATCAACTTAGCCCTCAGCATCGATGTTTTCATTTATAACCTTGAGGTGGAATAGTCAGTCATATACTATGCCCATAATCAACAGTTACCTCAGTCTTTTTATTTGATTCATGCCTTGCCTTCTCCTTGTGCCCTACCCTTTTGTTTAGAGTATATGCTATTTTGAGGGCAATAATTGTACTTTTTAAACTTTATATTTCTGTACAATTTATTTTTGTCTCATTTTTGTAATAAAATGTGTATATTTTAAGTAGTACAACATGATATTTTGATATACATAAACACAGTGAAAGGATTGCTACAGTCAAGCAAATTAACATCCATCTCCTCACATAGTTACCTTTGTGTTTGTGTATGTTTGCATGTGTGTATTATGATAGCACTTGAAATCTTCTCTCCAACAATTTAAAACAGTACTTTATAGCATTAGCAAGGGGAAGGAATGGCCTGGGAGAGCTTTAGCTCCCTCTGCCAATTTTCATAAACCCCACAACCCCCTCCAGAATCATAATTAATACATAAACAAAAGTTTATAATTATAAATAAAAGCATATTTTTGGCTGGGCATAGTGGCTCATGGCTGTAATCTCGGCACTTTGGGAGGCCGAAGTGGGCAGATCACTTGAGGCCAGAAGTTCGAAACCAGCCTGGCCAGCAGAGCAAAAAAAAGAAAGAAAACAAAAAACAAACCCATGGGTGTGGTGGCATGCATCTGTTGGGCCCAGCTACTCTGGAGGCTGAGGCAGAAAAATCGCTTGAACCTGGGAGGCAGAGGCTGCAGTGAGCTAAGATTGCAGCACTGCACTCCAGCCTGGGTGACAGAGTCAGACCCTGTCTCAAAAAAAAAAAAAGCGTGTTTAGAACACACATTATTTACTATGCAGCAGTAGCCTTGAGATAAGTCCTCTAGCTTCCCCTTCCTGCCAGATTGCCACCCCTAGTTTCCCTTGTGAAAAATCTGCCACTCCCACTGCTCAAGATAACGTTAACAAACTGTTGTTAAAGAACAAGAGCCAATGCCTGGTGAAGACTGCAATATTCCTCTGAAAACTGAGGTTATGTTGTTTTTGTGCTGGCAGCCTGTTCTCTAGATTTGCAGGAGATTCACCCTTATAAAACTTGAGGTTCTTATTTTCCTGATCCAAAGCTTTTTATTTAATAAATTCTTTGGGATAAGATTTTATTTAATAAGTTACTTGAGATAATTATATGTCTGAAGCCCTCTGAAAAGTCCCACTTGAATTTTTATCTGAAATGGCAAGAAGAAAGTCAGGCTGCACCTGGAATCTGGATTTAGTTTTAAGTTCTTTCAAAGCAATGCAGATATGGAATATTTAGACAAACCACAATTCTGGAAAGTTTTTTAAGTGGAAAATTTTGGTTCTAAGCTTTTGAAGAGGGTAGTTTGAAAACATCATACCACAGTTAAGCCTCAATCTAAATAATAAAATGTGTAAAATAGTTTTCCTATATATTATTTTCCCTAGTTCAAAAGATTTTGTCCTAGTCTCAGATTTTTTTCATAAAAATTATAATTGTTTGATAGTATAATCAGTCAAAAAACCAAAATACAAGGTTTAAATATTGAAAGGGAGGTAAAGGGATGGGCACAGTGACTCATGCCTGTAATCCCAGCGCTTTGGGAGGCCGAGGTGGACGGATCACCAGGTCAAGAGATAGAGACCATCCTGGCCAACATGGTGAAACCCATCTCTACTAAAAATACAAAAATTAACTGGGTGTGGTAGCACATGCCTGTCGTCCTAGCTATTCAGGAGGTTGAGGTAGGAGAATTGCTTGAACCCAGGAGGCAGAGGTTGCAGTGAGCTGAGATCGAGCCACTGCACTCTAGCCTTGTGACAAAGTGAGACTTCACCTCAATAAAAGAAAAGAAAAGAAGAAAAGGAAGTGGTAAAATTGTCCTGTTTGCAAATGACGTTATCATATATATCTGGGAAGCCTGAGGGAATCAACTTAAAAGTTATTAGAAATAATAGGAGTATTCACTAAGGCAGTCATTGCAAACAATACATAAAAATTAATAGTATTCTTACATTCCAACCACAACCAGTTCAAAATATCACAGGTAAAATTATTTTGATCACAAATCAAAACAACAATAACAACAAACCCTAACAGGAAGTAAGCAGGACCTAGATGATTAAAAATATAAAACTTAATAGAGAACATAAAAGGATTGATATGTCAATTGTAATCCCCTGTGTTGGAGGAGGGACCTGGTGGGAAGTGACTAGATTATGGGGATGGACATCTTGCTTGCTGTTCTTGTGATAGTGAGGGACTTCTCATGAGATCTGGTTGTTTAGAAGTGTGTAGCACCAACAGAAATTGCAACAAAAGCCAGAATTGGCAAATGAGGCCTAATTAAACTAAAGCACTTCTGTACAGCAAAAAAAAAAAAACCCCTATCATCAGAGTTAATAGGCAATCTACAGAATGGGAGAAAATTTTTGCCATCTACCCATCTGACAAGGGTCTAATATCCACAATGTACAAGGAACTTAAACAATTTATAAGAAAAAACAGACAACCCATCAAAAACTGGGCAAAGGATATGAACAGACACTTCTCAAAAGAAGACATTATGGGGGCAACAAACATGAAAAATAGCTCATCTTCCCTAGTCATTAGAGAAATGCAAATCAAAACCACAATGAGATACCATGTCATGCCAGTTAGAATGGCGATTATTAAACAGTCAAGAAACAACAGATGCTGGTAAGGCTGTGGAAAAATAGGAATGCTTTTATACAGTTGGTGGGAGTATAAATAAGTTCAACCATTGTGGAAGACAGTGTGGTGATTCCTTAAGGATCCAGAACCAGAAATACCATTTGGCCCAGCAATCCTATTACTGGGTATGTAGCTAAAGGATTATAGATCATTCTACTATAAAGACACATGCACATATATATTTACTCCATCACTATTTACAATAGTAAAGTCTTGGAACCAGCCCACATGCTCATCAATGATAGATTGGATGAAGAAAATGTGGCACATATACACCATGGAATACTATGTAGCCATAAAAAAGAATGAGTTCATGTCTTTTGCAGGGACATGAATGAAGCTGGAAGCCTTCATTCTCAGCAAACTAACACAGGAACAGAAAACCAAACACCGCATGTTCTCACTCATAAGTGGGAATTGAACAGTGAGAACACATGGACACAGGGAGGAGAACATCACACACTGGGGCCTGTTGGGGGTAAGGAGGAAGGGGAAGGAGAGCATTAGGATGCATACCTAATGCATGTGAGGCTTAAAACCTAGATGGCAGTTTGATAAGTGCAGCAAACCACCGTGGCACATGTATACCTATGCAACAAACCTGCACATTCTGTACATGTATTACAGAACTTAAAGTAAAATTTAAAACATAAATGAATAAAAAATATAAGAAAAGTGTGTAGCTGCTCCCCCTTCACTCTCTTCTCATGCTCCAGCCAGGTAAGGCATGCTTTGCTTCCCTTTCACCTTCTACCATGATTTTAAGTTTTCTAAGGTTTCCCTACCTGTGCTTCCTGTACAGCCGGCAGAACCATCAGCTAGTTAAACCTCTTTTATTTATAAATAAAATAAAATAAAAGGATTGATCAGAAAATTCCATTTTATATCCTTCCTTTATTTCCTTCCTTCTTTTCTTTTTTTCTTCTGTTTGAAATGAAGTTTTGCTCTTCTTGCCCAGGCTGGAATGCAATGGCATGATCTTGGCTCTGTGCAATCTTGGCACAACACGATCTTGGCTGACCATAACCTCTTGGGTTCAAGCAATTCTCCTGCCTCAGCCTCTGTAGTAGCTGGGATTACAGGCATGTGCCACCCCACCTGGCTAATTTTGTGTTTTTAGTAGAGACAGGGTTTTTCTATGTTGGTCAGGCTGGTCTTGTACTCCCAACCTCAGGTAATCCACCTGCCTCAGCCTCCCAAAGTGCTGGGATTACAGGCGTGAGCCACCATGCCTGGCTTATATCCATTTTTTCTCTATTAATCTATGGATTCAATGAAATCCCAACAAAAACTATAAGTTTTTTTTTTTTTTTTTGGTAACTTGACTTGACTTTTAGTCCAACTGTAAGTGCAGTTATGTAAAATTGACTCCACAAAAATTTAAATAGTGGTAAGGAATGATTTGGCTGTGGCAGCCAGCCTCCAGCATGGCCCCAGATGATCTCTGCCTCTTGGTTTTCACACCGTGGAGCAGGGGTCCCCAAACTTTTTACACAGGGGGCCAGTTCACTGTCCCTCAGACCATTGGAGGGCTGGACTATGCAAGGTGTGACATCCTTCACAGCCAGCGCTGCTGCCTCCACTATCCCAGACAGCGGTATACAGTGTCACAGGCCCAGCACCGCCTCCAGCGCTGTATACAGGGATGGCGGCGATCAGCCTGTGACACTGTATACAGCGTCCTGGACATCTGCAGCAGCGGTGGGCCTCTTCTGTGGGAAGCCCACTGCTGCATGTTTCCCCTATTATAAGACACCTCCTAAAAATAAGGCAGCCCCCGTCTTTTGGGGGTAAAATTAATATAAGACAGGGTCTTATAATAGGGGAAACACGGTGTGTAGTAATGTCGGGGGAGACTTTTGGGCAAAGGGAGGTTATAGGGGCCATTATGTTGTTGTACATTTGGGGGATTATGGGGACCATTGTACTGTGTAGTAATGGTTATAGTGCTTTGCCTTTCTTCCTACTTCTGCTGTTATTTCACATTGCTTCCGGTGATGTGGGGCGCTGCAGCCGCAGACCAGATGTGCGTCATATGACGTGCTTCCAGAGCCGTGACGCGTGCGTCCCGCGTCACCGGAAGTAGTACTATACGTGAGCAACGCTGCGCTTTGCAACACCGCCACATACTGTGCTCCTCTCACTGACCACCAATGAAAGAGGTGCCCCTTCCTGAAGTGCAGCGGGGGCCAGATAAATGGCTCAGGGGGCCACATGCGGCCCGTGGGCCGTAGTTTGGGGACCCCTGCCATGGAGTATCCCTCCTATGTTGTACCAGGGTAGCATTCCCAGATTAAATATAAGATGCCCAGTTAAATATAAATTTTAGTTAAACAATACATAGTGTTTTGGTATGTCTCAAATATGTTTATATGCATGAAATATACTTGTACTAAATAATTCATTGCTTATTTGAAAATCAAATTTAACTGGGAATACACTGTTATTTGTTCAGTCTGGCAACTTTATTAAACCAGGGTTGGTCTGTGTGACCAATAGCATATGATAGAAGTAATGGAACATCACTTCTGGGGTTAGGTTAAGGAAGACTGGTTTTTATCTTGGGCATGTGCACTCTCTCTCTCTCCTAGTCTCAGTGTCTCTCTTTGTCCTCTCACTCTGGAGGAAGCAAGCTGCCGTGTTTGAGCAGCCCTTATGGAGAAGTCTGCAAGGCAAGGAACTGAAACCTCTGGCCAACATCAAACGAGGAACTGATGCCTGCCAACAACAACAGGAATGAGGTTAGTAGTGAATCTTTCAGCCCCAGTCAAGCCTTGAAATGCCTGCAGCCCCTAGCAACACCTTAACTGCAACCCCACAAGAACTCCTGAGCTGGGGCCACCCACCTAAGCTGCTCCTAGATTCCTGGCCCTCAAAAATTAGGTGACATAATAAATGTTGCTTTAAGATGCTGAATTTAGGAGGGTAATTTGTTATGCACTAATAGATAACCAATACACTGACCTTATTAGATATTTAATCTCAAAGTTATAATGATTAAAACAGTTTGGTATATTATGCAGAAATCTATACTTCAAGAGAATAGCATTGAAAGTGTAAAAATAGAATGCCCATATGAGAGTTTTGTATATTACTCAGGCATCATTTTAAATCAGTATGGAAAAGATTAGTAAATAAATGACATTGGGATAATTACCTAGCCATTTATTTTATTTTTATTTTATTTTCTGAGATGGAGTCTCGCTCTGTTGCCCAGGCTGGAGTGCAATGATGCATCTTGGCTCATGCAGCCTCTGCTTCCCAGGTTCAAGTGATTCTCCCACCTCAGTCTTCCAAGTAGCTGGGATTATGTTCCCATTACCACACCCAGCTAACTTTTGTATGTCTTTCTAGAGACGGGGTTTTGCCACCTTGGCCAGGCTGTGAACTCCTGACTTCAAGTGATCTGCCTGCCTTGGCTTCCCAAAGTGCTGAGATTACAGGTATGAGCCTCCATGCCCAGCCCTAGCCATTTATTTTTAAAATGAATTTTATTGTGTATTTTGAGGTTTACAACAATATTATGGGATACATATGGATAGGAAAATGTTTACTATTGTGAAGCAGATTAACATACCTATAATCTCACATAGTTACTTTTTTTGTGTGTGATAAGTGCAGCTAAAATCTGCTTATTTAACAAAAATCCCTAATCCAGTACAATTTTATTAACTTTAGTCCTTATGAAGCACCTTAGATCGCTAGACTTGTTTATCCTACTCACCTGCTACTTTGTAACCTTTAACTTATGTATCCCCATTTCCTCTCCTCCCACCCAACCCCTGGTAACCACTGTTTTACTCTCTATCTCTATATATTTGAGTTTTTTTTTTTTTTTAAAGATTCCACATATACATGAGATCAAACAGTATTTTTTTCTTTCTGTGTCTGGCTTATTTCACTTAGCATAATATCCTCTGAAGCATCTTGTGGCAAATGACAGGATCTCCTTCTTTTCAGTGGCTGAATAGTATTGCATTTTATATATATATGTATACAGTTTCTTTGTCTGTTCATCTGTTGATGATATTTAGATTGTTTCCATATATTGGCTATTGTGAATGAACATGGGAGTGTGGATATTTTTATGAGATGGTGAATTTATCTTCTTCGGGTATGTAACCCAGAAGAGGGATTGCTAGGTCATATGGTAGTTTTATTTTTTGGGACAGGGTCTCACTTTGGTTGCCCAGGCTGGAGTGCAGTGGTGCAGACTTGGCACACTGCAGCCTCAACCTCCAGAGCTCAGGTGATTCTCCCACCTCAGCCTCCTGAGTAGCTGTGACAACAGGCACACACCGCTATGCTTGGCTAATTTTTTGTATTTTTAGTAGAGATGGGGTTTTGCCATGTTGCCTAGGCTGGTCCCAAACTCCTAAACTCAAGCAATCAGCCAGCCCCAACTTCCCAAGGTGCTAGGATTGCAGGCTTGAGCCACCATGCCTGGCCTTAATTTTAATTTCTTTAGGAACCTCCATACTGTTTTTTATAATGGCTGTACCAGTCTACATTCCTACCAACAGTGTACTAGGATTCCCTTCTTCTTACATCACTTAGCCATTTAGAACCTTGCCAAAAATAGAGACTCTCCTGTCTCCGTACTAGGCTTTCAAATGAAATGAAATGGAAATTTTAGAACATCAAAAAAGCAAAAACCATTTGAAAGGCTTTTATTGTTCCTTTATTCCATATCTAAGACAATGCTACACAATATTTATATATTACCATTTATATATTATATAACCTGCCGAAGTTGAAAGTGTCTCAAGTGTATGTGTAGTCCACGCTCCCCAGGCTGATATGGCTTACATGGTCTTACATAGCTGAATAGAGTTTGCATACAACCCATAGTCATATTTCCCTGGCAGTACCTAGTGACTGCTTCAAGAAAGGGGGAGGTGGTTTTTGATCTCTCTTAACACTTCCACCAGGCAAATACTGTGTACATTTGGTCATATTGCATTGTAACTTTTTTAACTTCATGTAAGGTAATTTCAGTGGTGACATCCACACACAATTTTATTTCCTCAGTGAAACTGGTAAGGAGCTAAGCACTAAATCCATCTGTTTTCTTTTCTTTTTTTTTTTTTTTTGAGACAGAGTCTCACTCTGACCCTCAGGCTGGAGTGCAATAGCATGATCTCTGCTCACTGCAACCTCTGTTACCCAGGTTCAAGCAGTTCTCGTTCTTCATCCTCCTGAGTAACTGGGATTAGAGGTGTGCACTGCTACACCCAGCTAATTTCTTTATTTTTACTAGAGGTGGGGTTTTGCCATGTTGGCCAGGCTGGTCTCAAATTCCTGACCTCAAGTGGTCCACCCACCTTGGCCTCCCAAAGTGCTGGGATTACAGGTGTGAGCCACCGTGCCTGGCGTCTGTCTCAGTTTTTTAACAGAATCATTAAATAGCAAGTAAGCATTAACGAAGAAGAGTTTGACTTCTTACAAGTGTTCTACAAACATTGCACATACTCTTTCCGTATTGTGATACACACACACACACACACACACACACGCAGAGTCTGGGAAGGATCACACAAATCCTATCAAAAATTTCTTAATAATCATATTTCATTAGCTCCATTGTCTTACTAAAAGAAAATGAAAACAAATCATTACATGTTAATAATAGAGAATTTGCCTAAAGTTTCCCATAGTAATCTCCTAAAACATTTGAAATGTAGTTTTAAGAAAACATGGTAAAGAACAAAGAAGACCATAGAATGACCCATAATTTTACTACCCAGATACGCTTGTTGACATAAAAAAAAAAAATAAAGTAATATGTTAATGGAAATTCAAATATTCCAGTAGCTTTTTAGAAAAAACAGACACTACATTTAATACGTTGGTGTACAATGTGACCCAATTTTAGAGAATGTGTGTGTTGGTGGAGAATGCATCTTTAGAATTGATGGATTACGTTATTTCCAGACTTTTTTTCTTTGTGTATTTTTAATATAGTTGATATGTACATATGTAAAATGTATATACTTTTTTGACTTTTTTCACTTAATATTATCATGTAAACATTACATTAATGCTTTTTAAAATTAATGATTATCTTTTTAATGTAACTTAATTAAATAAGATTTAATTTAAATATTATATTGTAATTAGCTTTGCCGTTTTCCTACAGTTGTTTCCAGTGTTTGATCTTATAATTAATATTTTTCCCAAGTCAAACTGTATCCAGCTTTATTAATAAACATACTCTTCATAAACAATTATGATATTTCAGGCAGGACATGGGCAGACAATTGTTAATAGCATACAACAATGTTCAAACTTCCTCCTTCAGTGGACCATCAGAATCAGAAAGCCACTATAAAAACCAGTGAAATCTTGATGCTCTGAATAGGGAAAGTTTCAACTGACAGTTGACATTCCGCATTTAGCATGTTATTTAACACATTTTTACAAACAGACCCTGACTTTCAGGAAATGAAATCAAAATGGCAGAATATATCTGAAGATCCACAATCTACAAATGGAACTGCCACTCTTTTGAGGGGTGCCATCTCAGTGGCATCACTGGAAAATCCAGATTGCCTGACACACTGGTAACCAACTATCGGAGGTTAGGTCCCAACAGGTGTCTGGGTTTAAAGGAGTTGAGTCAATGCTGAAGGTAGAAAGGGAGAGAAGGACATAAAAGTTAATTTTAGTTTTTCCGCACCTACAGGGTGTTTGTGCTGGTTGGTGTCAGCGGTTTCGCTGGAGTTTGGGATCTGAAAACATCTTAAGCAACCTTTAAACAAAAGCCATATGATTCTAACATTGGTGATCCTGCCTATAGGAACAATGGGGATGCAAATGGACAGTATCCAGTGCTATTGACTTTCAGCAACAAGGAAGTGAGCCAAAGGGCAGCCTGATTAAGGCTTCATTATAATGAAATTTCTCCCCAGAACTCAGCATGCAATCCTTGTCAACCCTGTAGGGATGGCTTCATCAGTGGCTCAATGTGTTTGCCAACTCAGAAGCTCTCTGAAGCCCTTTGTTTAGGGTTTTTATGGAGGTTCTATTGCATAGGCATAATTGCTTAAATCACTGGCCATTGGTGATTTACTCAATCCAGCTTTTCTCTCCCCTCCCTCAATGGTGAGTAGGGCTGAAAGTTCCAATCCTCTAATCACATGTTTGGTTCCTCTGGCAACCAGTGCCCATCCTGAAGCTATCTATGGGCTTCCAGCCACCAGTCATCTAATTAACATAATTCATGTACCCTCGAAAGGAGCTTGTTGTAAATAACAAAAGATACTCCTGTCACCTCAATTACTCAGAAAATTCCAAGGGTTTTAGAAGCTCTGTGCCTGGAATCAGGGATAAAAACCAACCATTTTAACAAAAAATGCTCCTGTCACTCCTGTCACTCAGGAAGTTACAAGAATTTTAGAATCTCTGAACCAGAAACTGGAGATGAAGACCAAAAAATATTTCTTATTATATCACAGTGTCACAGTCCTTATCAGGTTGCCAGTTGAAAAGAGGTAGAAAGTTGTCCAAAAGTCAAATTTTCATGTAGGAAAGAAAAGGTTTTTGCTAGCACTTCACCCACAAGCTTCTTTTTTTTTTTTTTTTTTTTCACTTTTTTCCTCAGTAGGATTTTTTTTTTTTTTTTTTTTTTTTTTTTACTTACAAACTTCTTTATCAACAAAGTAACTCATCATTGGAATCTGTATACTCTATTTATATTTTCAGTATACGTTAGCTGGCCAAAATTTAGGTGTAA